TCTGTGTAAAAGAGGAAATATATCATTGACTTGTTGGATGATCACAGAATATATACAGAGTACTTAGAACCAGGAATTAGGGCAATGAAGTATTAGATATTTAATATTGTTTTGGTTCTGTTAGCTCACAGGCTACCTCTCTATTCATTTCAATTCCATGCTTCTCTAGTGGAATTCCCCAACTTCCTCCATTACCTATGTGGAATGCCCCTCCTTTTTTTTTTTTTTTAACCATAGTATCTCACTAGATTTCCCTGCTTGCTAATTACCATTTTTCTTTCCTGATTTCTCCATAAATTTTTGCTTCTCATGAGAATATGAACTGAAGAATATGAACTTTATTGCCACCTTCATATAGTTTATCTTATTGTTTATCTTTCTTTATGCCATGAACAGTTAAAAAGAGCTGGACTTTCCTCTTTGTTTCACTTTTAGTCTTTTTTGCAAGAAGGAAAAATGGTTATGATTCAGTATTAGCTTCTGATATTCTAGTGAACAATACCTGGGTAAATTCCTCCTTTGCTCCATACTTCCTGATCTTAAATTTTTGATTCATTTATTTATAATATTTTACCCATTTCTGAGTGTGACTTGTAGTCAGAATTGTTAATTGTTGATTTTATAGGTGAACATATTATTTCAGATCAGCAAACTTCAACTGATACAAGCTCTCCTGCCTGTCCCTCATGGACTTGGGTTAAGCCTCTGTCAGTGTGACCATTGTAACATTTCAGTCACTGAGTGTTTTTCTGAGGTACCTTATATATTTTAGCTCCATTATTTAGCTAATGCCATAAAGGAGAAAAGACCTGTATCTCATCCTGTGTCTCAAGAACCATAAAATGCTGAGTCACAGTGCATCTGAGGGCTGCTCTCACTAGGCAGATGATTTAAAGTTTGAGGCGGGAGTGATTTCAGATTCTGCCAGGCTTACATTGTTGTTCAGTTCTTTTATTTTGATTCAGTATGCTTGTGAAATTGTGGGGCTGGTGTGGGGTGAAGGCCGATTGGGATTAGGAGGGAGTGTATGAACTACAGTACTGTATTCTTGAAGGCCATTTATACTGTTCACAAGTAATTAAATACAGAAATATGTAATCCATTACTTTAGACAATGCTGTATATGTGCATCATTCAGCAATTCAGAAAGTAGCTTTTCTTACTAACTTTAAATAGTTTTGAATGTACAGAGTAGATGATGCAAGTTAAAATATTTCTCAGGGATATAGAAGAAAGTGCTAATGGTTCTTGTTATAAGGGTGGCAGGACCACAGAGTTGATGCTGGTACTCTGGGAAGAAAGAATTGTGGGATTTATATTATTGGAAAATATCTAAATTCCTTGTAGTATCTAAGCTAGATTTTTTCATTGATGGAGCAACACAGTTGTATATGGTATTTTAGCCCCACCACTAGCATTTCAAGCCCTGCCATAGCATGTTATAAAGGTTCAGTTTTTTTTAATCAATTTTTTGCATATTTGCTTTTAAAAAAATATTTGTTAGTTGTCGATGGATCTTTAATATATTTATTTACATTGTGATGCTCCGAATTGAACCCAGTGTCTCATACATGCTAGGCAAGTGTTTTTCCTCTGAGCTACAACTCCAGCCCCAGGTTCAGTTTTCTTATATCACTATAATGGTGTAATAAGCAGAGAAGGTGACTGGGTAAGTTTAGATATCTAACTATTTATGCATCAGAAAAAATGGTGGAGAAGATATGTATACATATTCATTCACTTAACAAATACATATTGTAGACCAACTGTGTGCAAGGCACTGTTACAGTGTTAGGGGTATAGCTATAAACAAAACAAGATCCTTGCCTTTATAGAATTACCTGCTTGTAGGGAAGCCAGACAATGAATAAGTAAATAAATAGTATATTTGATGATAATGTGTGCTCTGGAGAAAAAGAAGGGCAACAGGCCTAATTGATAAAGTGACATTTGTATTGATCTTAAGGAGGTGAGGCAGTTAGGCATGAAGAATTTTTCTTTTTTTGGCTGCACTAAAGATAGTACCTAGGGCCTAGCAGATGTTAGACAAATAATGAGCTACATCCCTAACCTTTTTTACTTTTTTTTTCTTCCTGCCTCATCCTCCTGAGGAGTAGTGTGCACCATGGTAACCAGCTGCAACAAGGACTTTTTTTTTTTTTTTTTGGTACTGGGGATTTTATTTTTTATTTTTTTGGTACCAGGGGCTCTTTACCACTGAGCCACATCCCCAGCCCCTTGTATTTTTTATTTTGAGATAGTCTTGCTAAGTTGTTTAGTACCTTGCTAAGTTTCTTCGTGCCTCACTAAGGTGCTGAGGCTGGCTTTGAACTTGATCCTCCTGCCTCAGCCTCCTGAGTTGCTAGGATTTATAGGCATGTACCACTGTACCCAGAGGATGTTTGAGAATAGAATTTTTCCAAGCAGTGAGTGACACTGTAAAAGCTCTACAGTTGAACATAAACTGACTAGTTATGGCTAGGGGACCAGTATGACTAGGAAACAAAGCAGGTAGATTGTGGGGGCACTAGTCATTCATAAAGACTGACTTTTACTCTGAGTGAGACAGGAAGCCATTAAAGGGCTCTAGTTAGAGGAGAGAAAAATTGCATTTTAAACTCATCATTCTTGTTTGCTGTCTTTTTTTTTTTTTTCCTATTTTTTCTTTTGGTACTGGGGATTGAATTCAGGGGCATTCAACCACTGAGCTACATCCCCAGCCCTAGTTTGTATTTTATTTAGAGACAGGGTCTCACTGAATTGCTTAGAGCCTCACCTTTGCTGAGGTTGGCTTTGAACTTGATACCCTCCTGTCTCAGCCTCCTGAACCACTGAGTTTACACAGGCCAGGTGATTGTTTTGTTAAGGAGCTATTATAATAAAACCCAGGTTATAGATAGTGTGGGCCAAGACATTCA